GGAAGGAATCGCTCTGCAGCTCCTATGGAAATTCATATTCCGTGTATGTTCCTCTCTCACCTGAAATAAATCCCGCAGGCCTACCCACACAGCCCAGCAGCACTTATTTATTTGCATGTCATGCTTATAATATGGTGGAAAGCAAGACGGATCTTCGAGGAGGGGAGGCGATAAGGCTCACCTTTCAGGCTCACTGTCTTAAATAAAAAAGAATCGTCCGGCAGGGCGCCTAAATATTTATCTTGAGTTTGTGGTCATTATCTCTATTATATAGCCCTGGCAATAAATAAACCGGGTAGTTACTACCCAACAATAAAACTGTAGTGTATGGGACACCATACTATTACTTTCTTAATAATCTGCCGTTTCTTTCACTTTAAATCACCCCAGTCTTGTCTTCCCACTTGTCTACAAGGATCTATCTTCACCCCTTGAGGTACCCAGGCGCTTGGTTCATTTTTATATTTGGTGAGCACAATAAGTTTTCCTGTCTAGACTCTGTTTTTCCTCCTCTTTCCAAGCTGCCTAATCTGCTTCAAGACAAAGGGTTGGCCCGGATCAAATGTCTTTCCCCCACCCCAGCTCCTCATTTTAACCGCCTTGTGCGTCTACTGAATGCAGATCGCCCCCCACCTCCTCGGGGCAGCCACCCACCGGGCCTCTAGGAGAAAGAGGGCAACGCAGACTCCGGGTGACAGGGCCCGGAGAAGATGGGCTGTGCTCCCATGGCCCGCATGCCCGTGGGTGCGCACTGAGTCAAGGGTCTCGTTTGAGAGACGATGCCGGGGCTAGATCTGCCTCTCCAGCCCTCACCCTTACTCTGGAGGGTGTGCTTGACCCAGTGCGGATTGGGGGGTTGGGGTCCCACCCCTCCGCCTTCTCCCGCTCGCCCTCCGCACAGGCACCGCGCGCTACAAGCGGACCCGGGTGCCAGCCGCCTGGACCCGCCTGAGAAGTCGGTTCTCGCTCCACTGCTGGCTCCTCTGTGTCTTCGGGCATTAAAAGTCCCCCGAGGGGGTCGGCCCCGGGGAGCGGACACCGCGGTGGGCGGGGGTGAAGGAGCACCTTTCAGGTTCCCAGCCCCGCGGGCGGCGGGAGAGCCTGCGCGTACGCCCACCAGCCTGGCTCTCACACCCAGGGCTCACCCCCTCCGCGCCGTGGCCAGGTACCCGGCTCGCATCCCGGCCCATTCCCTGCCTGGAGGGAGGCGCGATCTGGTTGGGGCTGGAGCCTTTAGGGCCCCAGGGACCCTCAGCCCGGCTGGGAGCTTGAGCCCAGCCAGTCTCTGGCCGGCGCCTCCCAAAGCCAGCGCCACGGTTGTGGCACGCCAGCGCTCAGCAAATGACCATCTTCTCCGAGGAGCGGTAGAAATCGGGGGAGGGAGTGCGGGGAGGGCCGCGGGAGGGAGCGGGGCCAAAGAGGTAGTAAGCCCGCAAAGAAAACAAACAGACCTGCGGCGCTTCCCCTTTTGTCCTTCTGGAGCTCCTCTCCAGAAACCAACTTCAGCACAAGCCCCCACCAGGCTTGTTTTTGTTTGTGTGTGTGACTTAGATCACAGATAGAACTCGGGACCAAATCTCCGAGTGTGTGAGAGGGAACGAAGCCGGCCAAGCTACTGATGGCGAAGGGACAATGAACTTATCACCTTTCTTTAACTCACTAAGGCGTCCTTTAAAAATTCCACGCCGTGTGTGTGTGTGTGTGTGTGTGTGTGTGTGTGTGTGTGTGTGTGTGTGTGTTTCACTGTTAATTGCGTTTTGCTGAGATGATCTTTTACGACTGGAAAACAAGCGGCTGGGAAAATATTCACGTTTGGGACCGAAAACATTTTTTATTTATATCTTTGACATTTAAAAGAGGAGAATTAATTTGTCCTGTCTACATTAGCATTGAGAGAAAGTTTCAGAAATCTACCCAGAGGGAAGGGGGTGGGGGGGCGAGAAAGCGAAGAAAGAAAAGGAAAAAGAAAAGCTAGGCTGGGTTTTTCTTATTTCGGAACTGTAATCAATCATTGAAATAGGAGGCAGCAAAATTGTAAAGATTCGATAGATTAAAATGCAAATGAAAGGTAGAAAAAGAAACATTAACATGGCGATCAAAGATTTAATAACCGTAAATCAAGTTTTTTTTTTCCTGTTGCAGCTGCAGTTTGCGTGTGTGTTTATGTTTTAATCATGTTCGTTCCATAAATAAATAATTTCTGAAACGAGACTAATTTTTCATTATTTTAACTGTGGGCTATAACACTAAATATTAAAGATAGAAAACGTACAGGATGCCAGATCCCCAACCAAATAAGAGAAAGATGTGTTGATTGGTTAAAACCGAGGGGTTTTATTTGTGTGTTTTGAAAAGCAGAGTATTCTGCTAAAAAATTATATCTCAACTGACAAAGCCCAAAGTTTTATTTTCCCTTTAATATTTTATGTTAAGATACCATTTATATTTATAGGAAATATATGCTGGCTGTATCTCCATTTCAGTTTGAGCATTTTCAAAGAAGGAAAGTAACAGAATATTTAAATACAAAACATATATTATTGGAAAGTGATTTGACAGGATTCCTAGGAAATACCACTCCCCATAAAGATCTGCCTTCCAGAGAAAAATTAAATGATGGTTCGACACAGTTAACCTTTTTTTAGCTTTCCTCCTAAAGTTAGTTTTCCAAATGGGAATATTGTAACTTTTTGTTATCATTCAAATTACGGTTTTATGTTAAGGTGTCAAATATCGGAACACACTCTAATTGATTAGCTACTTATTTTCTCATATGATGAAGGTTTTTCATTTAAATCTTTTTATTTAAAATATTGATGCCTATTGTTAATTTAGAAATTATTTCTAGAACTTTAAAAATAAACACCTAGGCTCAGTCTTTTCTTTCTTTTCCCTTTTTCTGGTCGTCTTATTAACATGGAAGAATTTACCTTCAGAAGATTGAAAACTTCATTTTGGTTATATACAGCCTTGCAGTGTTCAAAATAACTGTTTGCTTAATTTTGACTTTGAAGGGGCTTCACCTTAATTTATTGGAATGATGGATTATAATTGTCTCTATTTCTCCGCTTTCCACAAATTAAAATGATAGTCAAACCTGGGATACGTATTTCCCTTCTAAAACCTTTCGGTTAAATGTGAGCGAAGTTGGTGTCTACTCCCTCCATCCCAGCCACACAACCACGTTTCACTTTGACAGTCCAATAATGCATTTAGTTTAAAATTACACTTGGACCTTTCCTCCTTTTTTATTTTCTCACTTACTTCACTGGAACACGATGACTTGATTTTCATGGGATTACATGAACTCCGTCCAGTGTTACTGGGACATTTCTGCTCAGCTAAATACTTGCGTTTAATAGACAAATGAACTTCTTTTTATTTGCTGGAGTTTGTAGCCAGTTTTAGATACAGAGTGTGCAACTGATTTAGTTATTGTTGTTGTGAGAATCGAACAGGCACAAAAGTCATTTATCTAAGCCGGAGAGATATGACTCTATAAAAGGGAGAAGCAAGGGCAGAATCATGGGGAATTATTTCAGTTTATAGCTCTTATTAATTAAACCGGATGTGGTTTTATTCTGATCTTTCAGTACCGACCTTGTTAAATGCTCCCAGATAGCTTTTCCCCTCACCCCCAATTTTTTCGTCTATCAGATAACTTGGGTCTCTTGTCTTAGGAGTTGCTTTTTCTACCTGATATCACTAGACAGTTGCAATGTAAAAATCGGGTGCATCTTCAGACGATTGCACCCCTGGGGGTAGAGGGGGGGGAGAGAAGAAAGAAGAAAAGAAGAAACGCCTTTTCCCATTCCGCTTTAGCACCCTGTTTCGTTGAAATGCAAGACAGGTACTTGATTTAGCATTTAAGCAAAAGGTTACACAAACCGCGTTTTAGAAAGTGTTGGGGTGTCCGACAGGGTCAGCCCCAGATCAGATCATTTTTTGAATGCGGACCTGAAGATAATGAGTACTTGTTGTATTAGAGGGAACAAACAGTGCTTTGGCTTCCTCTGACCCCAGAATGCACGGCTCGGTTTCATTGATCATCCTCCTTTATGAGATAATGCAATTACAAACATCAATAAGGGGCTGCAAGGGGAATCATTATGCGGTGACAGTGATAAATGACGGTGCAGAAATAGCATGCTTTTTCCCCCCTAACAATCCAGGAGCCCAGGGGCTCCGGGGGCTGAACACAGTCGCCAAGGAAACAGATGACATCCCAAACGGCACCAAAGGAAAAAAAAATGAACAGTCTTTCTTTGCCTCTCACTCTTTTCCGTCTTCCAAAGAGTTAGTTTTGGCTCTAGCAGCAGCTGCCACACAGCCATTTCGTTATTTCAGACATTAAAGACTGGAGCGGGGGTGGGGGGCGCCGCCTCCTCTGGCCTCCCCACCCCCACCAGATAACACACAAAGCTGGCCCTTCACAGTGCGGGGCTACCTGCAAATGCACGTCTTGAAAATCAGGTTGGGGCGGCGTGGGGGTTGCAGGAACGTGGGTTTACACCGCCCTGCGCCGTGTTTCCCCGCTTTCACGACCGTCTGGTGGAAACTGAGTCTTCACAACAAGCTGGCGCCTCGTGGGTCGGCCAGCGAGGACAGGACGGGGGCGCGTGGCTCGCCTCCATCTCCCCCCGGGGCAGTTTGCCGCTTTGCCGGGTTGATTTGAGAAAGCATTATCAATGGGCGCGGGATCGCCCCAGGATCCAGGAGTGGGCTGTTTAAAGACCCAGGGTGCCCTCCGCAAAGGGCCTCTCTGAGCGATCCTACCCACCCACGTCCAGGATGGTAGGCGGGAGCGAAAGGCGATGGGATCCTGGGACTGCTGAGCCGGACCTGCGGCAGTGGTGGTGGGGATGGGGGGGCGGGGGGAGCCTGAAAGGGCCTGGGAGAGAAGGGGAACGCGCCACTTTGGGGGTGGGGGGAGGAAGAGAGCGCCGAGGTGCCCGGGAGGAGGGCGGCAGAAGCGATGCAGAAGGGAGGGAGGAAAAAAATCCAGGGACTCGGTTTCCGCCCGGAGATTAAAATCATGGCTGGGGAATGAACTTAATGTTTTAGGGTAGAGGTGAGTGTGTCTGAGAGTGGGCAGGGGTGAGCATTGCCGACCTGATCGATGGGAGACTGGCTTAAAACTAAACCCCTTTTCTGGGCTTCCCCGCCCGCCTTTCCCCGCGGTGGCTGAGCTCGCGCGGGCAGGAGGCAGCGCGGGCAGGGACGACCCC